TGACAACTTGACATTAATCAAAGTGACATTACCAGAAGTTGTCTTTGTCATGACAAGTTGAGAGAGAGAGAGAGAGAGAGAGACAAGAGAGATGCAACCATAGGAGACGATGAAGAAATGTAAATAATGGCAGAACAGAATGGATTGGTAATGAGAAGAAAAGAATTCTTCGTCCACATGTCAAGATTTAAAGAATGTCCACACAGACCACCGCCTCAGTTTAAAGGTACATTGTTACGACCTCCTCCACAGTGTCCTTGTTTATTGTTGTGAAACTTTTGACTCTGCCCTCTAGTGCCATCTACTGGCTGTATGTATGCAAACATAAGGGACATTGAAGAATGAGGGCAGTGATGCTGGTGTTTATTTTTGAACATAAAGGGGACTCCAAGAATGCACCAACCAAAGCAGGTTTTCTGTGTTAGTCTCGGGGTCCTTTCTTGATTTATTTATCTCTAATTCTCTGTCTCCTCCCCTCCAGGAGAAAAGCGTTTTGAGTGTCCCGAATGCTCTAAGCGCTTCATGCGCAGTGACCACCTTTCCAAGCACATCAAGACGCATCAGAACAAGAAAGGCGGAGCGGCTGTGGCAATCATCACCACTGATGACATGGAGGAAGACGCCCCCGAAGGCCTGGGTGCCTCCCCCCAGATTGTTGCCGTGGCGACCCTCTCACGTGACTCTGACCCCGCCACGCCCACCACCTCTAATCACCTGGAGGAAGAAGAGGAGGAAGAGGAGGAGTTCGAATAGGCCTGTTTCTTTCGCCGAAGGCTGACTTCCTGTTTTCTTGGGAGTCTTTGCAGGGACTGTAAGAGGTGGCTACTTTTTCTTTTCTTTTTTTTTTTTTTTTACTTTTAATTTTGCATAATTTTACAAATGTTCGCTCACGATAAGGGACTCAAAAGAGACGGGTTCATGTGTTGAACGGAGACGGACAAATATAAACATCACAATCTAAAAAAAACTAACACATATAATAACGAAAATTTAGCGTAAACATATGAAAGATTAGTTTGGCATTTATGAAATGAATCTATAATAATTCCATTCAGTGGGGAAAGGAATGTAAGTAGTGACTAGATTAGCACAGGACAGGGGGACCTGCTGAATCTAAATCATGTGACATCGAGAGACATTTTCTTAATTGCAACAGAATCTAACTCTATGCACAAAGTTGTGTTCCTGTTTCATACCTGTCAGACAGTGCTGAGGGTCAGTCACGGTACAGGGCTGTTGCAGAGCGATAATAGAGCAGGGGCAGTCTTGGGATGGCATGTGTATGTGTGTGTATGTGACCTGTATGAATGAGTGTGTGTTTGTATTCCCACACTGTCACCGAGAGGATCTACCTAATTTGAGTTTTATTCATGGTTCAGGTTTAGTCCTCAGATCAGATTCAGGTGTTGCTTCCTTCGAGACCAGTCAACGGATAAACTGTTATTGAAGAAGAGAGGGGATAATTCTAAAAAAAAAATAAAAGAAAAAAAGAATAGAAAAAAGCACATATAAAAAGATTTATAAATAATGCATTCCTATTGAGGCGCAGTGGCCATTAGAAGAAAAAAAAAGGTTTCTATAGAGAAAAACAATCTAGCTTTCTACAACTTTGTTTGTGTAGTGAAAGCAATACTATAATGACAATCCTAGTGAAACCATGTTTACATTGTCAGGGGAAGTTTTCTCTGTTAATAAAACAAGCCAGTTCGCTCTAAGATTAGTGACAACATTTGAAAGCGGCGCTGTCGTTTGAACAAAGCCTGTTACTTTGCAGATACCACAGGGTGGCTTCAACATCACAGCTGCAGTCTATCCAGTGTTGGCTTGTAATTTTTATACGCTCAGTTACCACCACACGGCACCTGGTAGATGTAACGACAAGTTTCATTGGACAGCGGCACTGTCACTGGTGTTGCTTTTTGCCCTCTGTGCTCTGGTGAAGACCCCTCTCCGACTCTAACCGTGCGACGTGACCGACGTACCACAATTGCCTTAACACAAGCTGTTGTACAGATGTCAGAGTTAGCAGGGTGGAGAAAGAGGGGAGTTCTCCTGCGTTACGAGAGGCGACATGGGGAGCACACGACAGCACAGAGAGGTGAAGTGAGACAGAGTGAGAGGAGCTGTGGGTGGGAGTGGGTCGGGCTATTTAGCTATGTGGATATTATGAGATGTTTTCTGGTGGTGTTGCTCTGTGTTAGTTCAGTGCGTACATTTTTTTTTTTAAATTGAAAGATAATTTTATTCTATAGAGTTTATCGGTTGTTTTAAAAAAGTCCCCTCCCAGTATGTTAACACACAGGACCCCGCTGTGTATGGCTAATTTATTATTTATCCTTGAGTTGTACTATTTGCCTTTTGCTGGACTTGTATTTGTGTGCGTTGATTCTGAGGTTGTGTACAGCATGTTTGAGTTTTTCGCTGTAGTGCCGCTTCTCTCTTCTTTACTCTTTGTGCTTGTTTTTTCTTTTTTCTACGTCCGACCATTGCTGTTCATTTCTTCTCTTTGCGCCATAACGTGTTTTTTGGAGAAAAAAAAAAAAAAAAAAAAAAAAAAAAAAAAAAAAAAAAAAAAAAAAAAAGTTACTATTGTTTAAAGTTGAAAAAGGTTGATACCAAACAAATTTAGATGTTTTTGGTAATATTTTGTGTGACAACCAACTTTTTTTTTCTTTGATATTTTGTAGTGACATCTCATTTGTAAAATCTTTTTCTAAAAAGATGTTTGTTCGTCTCCATGACATTTGATAATGGGTTTTTTGCCAGGTTAGCCTCAAAGGCCCCAGTTTATTGATATTTTTAAAACTGGTTTGTACAAACGTGTTATGTCGATTAAAAAAAAACAAAGAAAAAAGGACAACTTCAAGCAGAAAAGATGCTTTGCCTGCATAACACTTGACAATAAAGTGATTAAAACTGTCTTAAATTCCACCCTGATGCTCTGGTATTTGTGTGCATCAATCAGATGGAAATGGAAAACACAGTGGAGCCAGAAAAATATCTACACACGGTACACTTAAACTCCAACACACATGTACAGCTCCACACAGCTCCTATAACTCCTCCCACCCCCTTATTACTGGGTAATCTCTCAGCTGTGTTGTGACAGCAGTGATGGAGTATCTGTGCTTCATTTGGGAACAATTACAGTTCTCAGTTACCATTTCTGCCCTTGTCCACGCCTTCGTCACCTCCCGTCTGGACGACTGCAACAGTCTATGGCTCATCTTCAAAAACCCTCAATAAGCTCCAGTATACCCAGAACTCTGCTGCTCGGCTACTCACCCACTCTGGCACCCGTGACCACATCCACGCTGGCTCCCCATCCCCCAGAGAATCCACTTCAAAATCCTTCCTGTATGAGCTCCTCCATCATCACACTCACTCCCCAAACCCATCCGAGTCTTCCCCCAAATCACTCAAGACTCACCAACGCTGTTTTCAATCACTGACAGTTTCTTCTCCTCATCCGTTATTTGTTCTTTTGCTTGTCTGTTTTTTTGGTTTAGTCCATGAATATATGAAGTGTCTTTGAGTGCCTTGAAAAGCGCAGTATAATATTAATATTATTATCACAATGGACTCCAAATTGATGCTCCAAGGATCGAACCGGTGACCACTCAGTTACAGCACTACTTCCTAGTCTGGGGATACCGATCCTCACTTGGAGTTGCAGAAGCTTCTCAAGGAGCTCTTGATTTTAGGGGTGAAAACCTAAAAAATATATATCTATATCTCAGCATTTCATTTATTTCTGGGAAAGAAACAAAATAAAAGTGTTATTTTTAGAGTTTAGATTATTATCCAGGATGTAAACTTCGGCCAAGCATCAGGAACAGGAAAATAGTGTGTCAGAAAAGATGCCTATTAATTATGTATGATTGATGAAAATAAAAATACATAATGCAGGCAGAGAGTCGTATAAAAAGTTCCTAAAAATATCAGGAAAACCCGTTCACAATCTGCTTAAAAGTCATCCAAATTGTGTTTGACACATAATTCCTGCAGCTATTGCGTTCACTACTCGGGTTAACTGAACAGTTTTATCAGTTGTTCTGCTATTGTTATGAACTGAATAAACTATGTCACTTAGGGGTCATTAGTTTACTCAATGATAGAGGGAGGGTCCCTTAAGGAAAAGGTTGCGTTGAGTTACCAGACCAAACACATCGCTGGCCTTGACTGATTACTTTTTATAATGAGCCAATAAACTCTGTGCCTCAGAAAACACGTTCTACAAAACACCCCGAGTGTACCTCAGCTACGATCAAAGTGTGACTTGTGGGAGTTCACCAGCAGGTCACTGACTGCCAGTTTACAAAAAGCATCATGTAGCAGGCAGCTCACGCATACCTTTGACATGTCACTCCTTTGAAGCACTTCAAAAACACCTAAATCTACAATACCTCTGCACCCTCGGGCGTTTTTTGTGGAGTTTTGAAGGTAAAAAAAGAGTTTAATGTAATGAACTCTGAAAGTACCAGAACAAGGACGGATATTTGTATTATTTTTTTCATCACTTCGAGTGTTAATTTGAACACATAATCAACCCCAAAATGTAAAAACACCAGTCATACGACGTCAAATGTACGCTCACGTCAAACATGAGTGTGCGCGCTAAAACTGAAACTACAGCTGGATAATGACGACAACGGTGATGAGATAAAATGTATTTCTATTTGTCACTCACATTGCCAATGATTCCTCATGATGACCTCTGACTGTGTCGTGACCCCCTGCCCTGCAGCAATGGCACCTGGTCATTACACGAGATCAGCTGACTGGCCTGGTCGAGTACATGAGCTGACCTGGACCTGACCCCACTCACCTGGAGAAATGACACCCTACACGCATACAACAGACAACTATGGCGCAGCATAAAAGATGTGTGCACCTCCCCTAAATGTGCGGTAAAGATGACACTGTGGTGTAGTGTGTGGCACAACCAACAAATATAACCTACAGGAATACATATGTAGACATAAAAACATGGCCAATTGTTTAGATAATGCCCCGTGCTTTATTAAAATTACAGTGGATTGCCAACAACGCTGTAAAAATTACTCATAAAAAAGTAGTTGGTATATAAAAAGGGCTCCTTTTGCATCTGTAACACAGAAAATAACCAAACCTTAGATTTGTTTTAGTGAACATCGACAGTAGAGATATTCAAATGGAAATATACAACTCAAAACTGAGTACTGACTTTAAAAAACAAAAGCATCCCTGCATCTCATGCAGCCTTAAATCAGGATATATAAAACATATTAACAGTGTATGTGCCTTGTGTTTAGAGGAGAGTAAAAAAAAACTAATTTTTGCTTTTGTTTCTCTAGTTAGAGAAAAGGTTGATCTACATCTAAATGTGCGTTAAAGAGAGGTCTACGGTATTGTGCAGGATGAGAGCTTCTAGCTGTGCGAGCAGGTTTTCCTCTCTGGTCTTCTCTCTGGACTTCACTCGAGATCCTTCTGAATGCTGCAGTGGAGACAAAACAAAACGTGAGCTCTGTTTCTTTGAAGATTGATTAGTCGTCAATCAAAAACTGAACAGGCAACTATTTTGTTTAAGTAATATTTAAGCGTAAGAAGCCAAACGGTTTTTAAATGTCAGAATAATGTGCTTATTTCTCATTCATGATAATAAATTGAAAAGCTTTGGATTTCTTGACAATGATGGAGGTCCAATCCAGGTCTGTATCATAAGACTGTACGGTGAGAATGAGGTGGCTTACCTCTCCAGATACTCGTGGACATTGTCGTGGCCGTTGTAGCGGGCCAGTCCCACCAGGATGCCAGTAGCGCAGCGGCCCTCCTTCTTACGACACAGGCTGCAGTTACACACCCCTCGGCAGATGGGGCACGACCATGTCTACGAAAAAAAAGGCCCAAATTTAATGTGGGTGACCAACCGTGTTGTTATTCTAATAATACACATGCAGTTCCATGTTGAGGCTTTATGTCCTTCCACTCTTTAGTCTTAAAGCATACATCAAATCACCTGCCTTGGCTGCTTTTAGAAATTGAGTTATGCTAAAATTTGTACAAACATTCAGTTACATGTTTGAGATTTTTCTGATTCTTCATCAGGAAGGATCTTTGCTGAGAAGCCGTCACTTATTAGGTGCTTTGCACTGCCTTTCCAATCAGAGGTGGCCACAGAGTGGTGCTGCAGACTGGTGCTGTCCCTTTTCAGAAGGAGTGACCATGCGGCCGTCTTGTTGTGGTCGGGATGTATGCACAGTTAGATCACTCCACGACCAGAAACAATGGATTACCAGAACCATCCAGAAACATGGTCAATTATAAAGCAGCATCCAACAATGTAAGAAGACGCAAAAAGGACTTAACTGTCAGGAGTGCACAAGTTAAAGGAGTTGATGACATCACATTTCAATGGAGTCGTACCTTGTATAATTATATGTGCATTGTTGAATTGTTTCGAGACATTAAAGTTCAGCCACTTCAAGGTCGACGAATTTTTTTGTTTGTTTTTTTGAATTGTTTTTCCTCCTGGTGTCTTTTCAGACGCTGCATTTATGTCACGTTTACCAAAACCAAAGTGAGAGAAATAAAGAATAAAATGTTTACTGACCGGGTCAAGCAGCACATCACGCACGTCCTCTCCGTAGCGGTTCTTCAAGCACGGCCCACAGAACTGACCTTTGACCCCCACACAAAAACCACTGCGACACACCGTCTTGGTGTCCAGAGTCTTCTGTCTGCACTGGTGACACGAGCTGCCCTGGAAGACACACACACACACACAAATAAATAGTGAACACACTAACCCAGAAAAGCTGACATCACAGTACCATGACCATGAAAGCAGGTGAAGTCCTGCTGTGACTCACATTCTCTTTGTCCCAGATCTTGTCCTTGCTGCGGTACGCTATGTTGTCCAGGTCTTCTTTGGTGATCTCGTCAACTGTCCTCACGTCATACTGGATCTTACTGCGGCTCCTCTTCCTCGTCTTGCCCTCACTGACTTCCTCGTCCACCTGCACAATCACAACAGACGGATTAGAGATTAGTAATAATAATAATAATAATAATAATAATAATAATGGCACTTTCTTCTACAATTCAGTCCCTCTGACATGCTTCCACAACAATACTGTCTGCCTATAGGTCCTGCGTGTGCATCAGCAGAGTTAAAACATTTCATTTCATTTCCGAGTGGGATTAATAAAACACTTCTTCTACCTCGATCAGCCTCCTGATGTCTACAGTCCTGGGGCCTCTGCGGGCGACTGGCTCACTCTTTTCCTCCACTGCAAAGTTCTCACGTGGACGAGCCTTGCGGGACGGGTTCCTCCTTTCTGACCCCATCTCCGGTTTGAACTTGCGCTTGCGTGGCGTTGCTCTCTGTGGCGTCCGCTTCTTCTTCTGCAGAAGTAAAACAAAGACAGTGTTTACATGTCAGTAAAAAAGAAAATCAATCTCTATAAAATACAACAGAAAAGCTTATTTCAACCAGTCATGTTGCAGGTACAGTTTACATCCATGTATGTCCAGACTTGTGTATTGCTGCAACATGAATGGTTCACACACATCTTCAACCCTCCAGCAAGATCTATACAATCAGCACAATTTGAAGATGGACATCCAAGATCAGTGTCATCAATTCAGCATCTAACCAAATGTTTCCCTTTCTGTTCTTGAGTTACGGTGTTAAATAATGGCCAGAGAGTGTTTTTGCAGAACATTATGAGGTCACAGTGAAGCTGCCCTTTGACCTTTAAGATAGAAAATGTCTCCTATTAGACATTTGTGTGAAATGTTGTCATAATAACCACGCAAGCTCTTGAGATATGGCCAAAAACATGTTGCAAGGTCACACTGACCTTGACAACCGTGCCTTTCTTAAATACATAGCAACCAAAGGTGGTGGTCTTTCTTGATTATTATTTTTCAGATTATGACTTTGAATTCTGGATGACATCCGACTCTTGTTCCTGTGAAGTTTGGATGACTTTACTCACTGCAGTTACTCACCTGAGGGGTGTTGGGTGGAGTGAGTTCAGCCGTGGTGCTCAAATCAGCAAACAGCTTAGCCAGCTGAAAGATAACAGCAGAGGAGATCAGAGTCATGCTCCAGAGGAGGCACTCATATAACTTGAGTATACAGATCAAACAGTTAGAATATGGAGCAAACACAAATGGTTTTAAGGGTTGATTACCATGGCCTTGTTTTCCTGGATGTTCTTGTCTCGCTTCCGTAGGCTCAGAGATACGACTTCCTCTTTGTCTTCTTCCTCCTCCTGCTGCTCCTCTTCCTTATCCCACTCCTGCTGCTGCTGCTGCTGCTGCTTCATGCTCTGCCTTCCTCTGGCTCTCAGTGAAGGAGGCCTTTCTTCGACTGGCTTTTTGATCTTTTTCTCTTGCGTCTCCTGTTTGGGGGTCGACAGTCTTTTGACAGGGAACCTGAAGAGCAAGATTAAAATAAGATCACTGCTCAGTCACGAGAGAATCAACACAGTTGTCATGAAACAGGCCTGTGTTTCTGCCGGACCCTTGTATATGTGGCAAACAGGATGAATATAGTGGGAAAAAGCAACAAGTTGAATCTATGTCCAACTAACTTCAAGCCATCGAATGTGACATGACCATTTAAACTCATGAGTAGCTAAAGAGGCAGCGACAATATGAAGCGTCACTCATTATTCATTCACAGCCTTTGCCTGTTCAAGATAGATCATGTAGGTTCATGTTGCATTAAAGGCTTCACACTTCACAGAGAGCAGACTTCCACACATGGATCTACGCGTTCAAACATATTGGGGCCATCCTGAATACCAGTTTTGGGGTATTGAAGCTTCACTGAGAAATACTGGCGATCTATCAAAGCTCTGAGGGCGGAAGGGATTAGAGACAAGAAGTTTTTTGAAACATAAGTTTTCCATTGTTCTTTCAGTGACATCTAAAAAAACACGACACTTAAGGCTAGTTCACACGATTTTTTACCCCAATTTTGCGTAGCAGAGACTATCGTAACCTTTTGAGGGTTCATACCCGTTTCTGTCATCGGGAGTCTCGCCAACTGCGTTACAACCTGTGTGCACACCACAAGATTTCTCCACCGAGCCCTCACCAACAGAGCCCCAGAGAACGCAGTGACATCACCAAACTACGTTTTTTAACTTGGGATATTCTTCCAAGTGTTGAATCAGATCTGCCTTCAGGGCCTGGGTCCAAACACAACACGCTCGCCAGGATCCTGTGGACGCCACCATTGTTGTTGTTGTTGTTGTTGTTGCTTGCCGGCTTGTTAGTGTTGCCAGATCTTGGGAGAGAAACGGCTATGGGGCTATGGAAACAAGCCCAAAAGAAGCGAATCCTCACCATTTCTTCCGTCCTCCTGCGTGCTGACGTGGGACGTATCCCCCCCTCTCATTGGCTGATGCTCTTTGTCAGTCGTGTCAGACTTCTCCAGTTTTCTAGCATGTCAGATATCCAGTCCCAGTCACAGACAAGGGGGCGACTTGCTCGTAGGCTTGTTCACACATGAGGACTCGTCGTGGCAGACTATCTGCCGACTCACCTCTGACCCAAGGTGGCTCTCAAGATCCTCTGCGGCGTCTAAATCACGGGTGAAAATCTTGTAATGTGAACTAGGCTTTAGCCACTTTGTTAGCATGCAGGTTGCAGTAACATTAGCAATGGTAATTAGAAAACAGAACACTTTGCAGGACGGCTGAGCTGTTACAGCTTTAAGGTGATTTGCCGAGCTCGTTGTAGATTTGTGATATGCCAGTTTTCCTTTGGCATATCTGGCACTAGACTTTTTGGGGTTTTCTTTGCAAATTTTGAAATGACTCCAGACACTTGACATTTTCAACATCATGCTAGCGTATCTGTAAGCCTGTTACGTGTGGTCAAACTGTCAAGAGTCAAAAAAACTGGGCCTGTCGCTAAGTTTACGTGTCCTTGTCTAGGAATAACTAATAATTAATGGTGATGCACAATGAATTTTGTTGGATTTTTGTCTCTTAATTTGTGGTGTTATTTGAGATGTCTTATGGTTTGCAAAAACAGAGCATTTGAATACTGATTTGGACATTGATTATCATGGCAGCGATCTTAGCACCAAAGGATTCGGGTCAGCCCTATGACATACAGCGATCATCTCTAGGTTAAAAAACAAGGGCAACAACTATGAATTCACATTTTCACATTTATATATATGAGACTTACATATTTACCAATTGAATGACACACACACTTAGACACACACACACACACCTCAGGGCAACTAAAAGACTCTTCCTCTTTGGTGGGGGAGCCTCCTCGCCATCAGAGTAGAAGCCTGTGTCCATGTCGCTGTCCTCCTCTGAGTCCACCATCTGGAGAACACCAGAAAGACAAAAGCAGTTAGTCTGGTGCCTTGGCTGCTGTAACGCACACATTTTCATCAGATAATACAGCCAACAATAGACGCTTCATACCATGGTCTTTGGACGTTTGTTGAAAGATCCTCTGTCCTCGTCTTCCTCGTCCTCGCTGAAACCTTCAAACTCCTCCTCACTGTCCGACTGGCTGAAGAGGCGAGCCAGCTCAGCAGTGATAAACTTGGATTTGAAACATGGAACCTGTTGGCAGACACATCCAGCATCACATAAGACACCTCTAGAAGCTCTATGAAGCCATTTTCTATGAGAGAATTTCAACTTTGTTTATCTTGTGCACATGAACACAGGTGACACAGTCCTACCGCTGGTGTCACGCCACTTGACAAATCAACAGGTGGCGGTAGCATGGCAAGATATGCTGCACTTAAAACATTTGCTAAAGCTCAAGGATGCACACAATGTGTTTCGATAAAGAACACTGACTGTAACCAGAACCTCTTTTTCCATGAAAACTCTACAGGACAATTTGCTGGATCAATTTTCATTCTTTACACCAGAGGGAGCACCTTTCCATCAGTGGACACTCACTGAGTGAATGCTGTGGGAGAAATTAATTTAGTTCAGCTGTGTCACTCTGCAGCTTGCCAGGATACCCAGTGCTGAGACTGGCTGCTTTTAATGAAGTAAATCTATCTTCTTGAATTTACGCCAATAGATACCAAACTAAACCCAAGGACGGCCTTATCACTACAGGCCTGTGTGGCCTCTCAGTCATGGCAGGGTAGGGCCAGCGACAAAGTGAAGTGGAAAAGGAACAAACACTTCACATTGGCACTGAACTTATTTCCTCATTTTGGGGGTCCGACAGACGCCAATTCTGTATGTGTATTAAATAAATAATCACTAAACCATTTTTCCTTGACAATGTTTTCTTTTCTTCTGACCTACTTAAAATCAAATATGTAGAAAGTGTTTTGAAATGGTAACCCTCCATTATTTGGGTGTGTAATGAATGAATGAATGCACCTTTCATGCACAAAATGCAGCACAAAGTGTTGGCAGAGACAAACAGCAAAGAAATAAAACCATAAAATTATACAACATTCTCACTGAAGGAGAAAAGAGAAGAATAAATACCTTTATCAATCACTAACTAATCAAGTAATAAAAACATATATACGAACATATTAAGAATATAAAAACAGACAGCTGCCAGTTATAGGCTATGTTAAAAAGATATGTTTGTGTCATCGTTTAAAACTGTCCACTGAGCCAGCAGGTCTAATATTTAAAGGCAGGGTGTTCCAAATTTTTGGGGTGTAGCAGCTAAAAGAAGCAAAGGTTTTTGTAGTGACTTTAGAGACAGATAAAAAGGCAGCTGCGGAGGATGTCAAGGTTCGTGGAAGGACGTATGGTGATAGCGAATCAAAAGAAGGATTTTAAAATCAATTCTACAAGATACTGGGAGCCAGTGCAAGTTATGCAGAACAGGAGTTATATGGTCTCTCTTTTTAGTTTTTATTAAAACTCTGGCAGCAGCATTCTGAATGGTTTGTAGTTTTGCAATGGCAGTTTTAGATAGGCCAGTGTATAGAGCATTATAATAGTCAAGACGACTGGAAACAAAAGCATGGACAAGCCTCTCAGCATCAGTAGAGGTCGTACCTTAGCTATACTGCGTAAATGATTAAATGCAGCTTTTGTTAACGAATTAAAACGACACTTACCTTTCTGGAATTTTTTCACTTTTCTTTGTTTAGTTTAAAATGCTATTAACAAGCTGATGGCACACTAAAATGTAAGTGAATTCCACCAGAGATAAAAACTCATAACTGTACCATTCCCATATGGTTCTAAGAAAACTCTGACCAATTGGCCGTCCTGTCCCACGTGGAGGCCTCTGACTGACACAACACAACATCGCCCCCAGAAACATTAACATTATCTTCCTTGTGCATTTCCACTTACTAGTAACGTTAACATTACTATCTAACGTTAGCACTTTATTATTATAATTATAAGCACCTTATTCTAAAACTCATCAACTGACTCCGGTTGAGTTTTAAAACTCCAGGGTTGCATTTGACTGTCTTGGTTGTAACGTTACACTCGCTCTCCTCTTCCGTGTATCTAACATTACCTTGCCAACGCCTACGCCTATCATAAACGTAATGAGGACGTAATGGAGGAGAGGGGAGTAGGACTTTGGAGGGAGGTGGAGTTGCAGGAGGAGGGGGATGGGACTTTGGAGGGAGGCGGGAGTTGTGGGTGTGAAAGGTATAATAAGAGTAGCTTTAAAATGAGAGCACAGGTTTCTTACTAGAGGTTATGTCTGTAATGACATCACAGCGTAGGTATATCACAAAATAATGAAACACTGTACCTATGTTATGTGTGCTATGCTTGAAAATATGACTATTTATTTGGGATTTAGGTGGGGGTTGTAGTGTGAAGAGTACTGTCCACACAATCACAAACACTGACCATATAACATCCATTGCATTTAAGCAGATTTTACAGCAGGGGGCTAAGATCAGGAAACTTGTCATTTGTTCAAAATGATCTTTATAAGCAGCTCATAAAATAAGGGAAAGTCGAGATGCATCAGTCTGACAAAACAATGTAAAGTATGTTTCTCAATCTGGTTAACAGGGCCTGGGGTCTGCAGGACTGCAAGGATAATATTGGAGTTAAGTGTTTGCATGTTTTTCTTTCATGGCCTTTTATGACAGCAGCGTACTTGCCTTTATTTACGAGAAAGACTGAATTATTGGACCAGAATCTTTGACAAATATATGCAAGTGAGACTGTGATTTCTATTGTGTAAAACAGGATCAATGCAGTTGATATCCCAGGTCCCATTTGTTGATTTCTGCTGAACCATCCCCTCCGGCCCCAGGGGTGTTGACCTCTGACCTTCATAAAGGAGGGCGACACATATTGGACCCAAAAACACTGAACATGCACTCCTTTACTATGAGCACAACCTTAACTGTTGATGATCACGAACACTGATGTGAATCAGATCACGTGTAACGTTAAGCTAGTTCGTTAACCAGGTCAAAACAAAGACACGAAAAGGCAAATTCAGTTAAAGAGATAACATTGTGCATGTCTGGATTAAAGAACTGGACTAACATCACCTTATTCGTGGGAAGGTATGAATACATCTCCACAATGAAACAGACCCAGGCCGAACAATCCAACAACGTTAGCTAGTAACAATGGTGTAACGTTACATGTTAAGTCGTTATGACTTTTCCTCACCACAAAACCACAACGTGTAAAGTAAATGTACATTTAGACGCGCTGCTCTGTCGCTTACCTTTGACTTGAGAGTCATCTTATCTCCGTTTTGCTGAAAAATCCCGTCCAACAGAAAGTTTTGTATTTTAAAATGAAAACCAATGAATGGACTGAGGGGAGGGGGTTTAAAAATTAACCGCTGGAGAAGTCCGGTCGTTGGAAAAGTAGGGGAGTTGTTGTTGTTGGGCTTATACATTAGTTCGTAATAAAGTCTTGTAACTGTAGTTTTGATAAACCACTAAAGACTTACTCACTTTAAAGTATTTTATTAATTATATTTTACGGTACAGATGTATCTCTCTGTGTTCAGGAGTAGTCTCTCTTCTACGCCCCCCTCACACTCACAATGGTGCAGTCCGATCTTTCGCGCGAAAACGGCACAGGGGCGTGGCACTGCAGGGGAACCTGCCCCTGCCACACTACAGTGAGTGATAGCACAATGTTTGTGTTATTTACAGTTTCAACAGACTTTTAACACATGTGTAGGGCTCAAATACAATTTTAAGGTACTTTTACTTTCTTCAGGTTATTCCATTTTGTGCTTTTACCGTCTCCTCAAAAATTTCAGAGGAAATTATTGTACTTCTAACACCATTACACGTTATTAGTTACTTTGCAGATACAAATTTTACATAGGCTATGATCACATTTTTAAAAACATAATGTGTTGATCCACTCAGTAGTCAGAGTAGTTCTACTCTGCTAAGGATTTTCTCAATTAATAATTTAGTCTATGAAATGTCACAATAATGCATCAGCAACATTATATCATTATATCAATAAAGTTATTTTGCTGCGTGATGAATATTTCTACAGATACTACTTCAAGTAGCCTATGTTCAGTTCAATTCAGGCTTTATTAAGGACACAACTAATGAGGGTCCACAGCAAGATAATGGGGTGAATACTGGCAAAAGTGGGACACTTATTGATAGTTTACTTTCTGTATAATTTTTATTTACCATCCAGATGTCTTAGCCCTATAGTATACATCAGGAAAAAAAAGAAAGAAACATTAAAGACATGATGAATGATTCTTCCTCAAACACACATTGACCCAAAAACACATTTTTCTAGAGTCTACTGTCAAAGTGGGACACCTTAATTGGCAAAGTGGGACACTTAAAACACATTTTATTGATATTTAAGTGTAGGCCTAATGAAATAAACACAATAGTAATACAAACAACAACAATAAACATCACATCACAATATTCTGTGATGAGTTTCATCTATTCCATATAGATTTAGATTTAGAAAGGATGATCCTTCATGAACATCTCTTCTTATAACTATTTCACAGGCTGGATTTTATTTCTGCTTTTGGTACGGTAGGTTAGTCTACACCAGAGGTGTCAAATCCTTTTTAGTTCAGCGGCCATATACAGCACAGTTTGATCTCAAGTGGGCCTGACCAGTGAAACGACTGCATAATAACCTGTAAATGTCAACCCTTTCAAATTTTTCTTTCACTCTGAAAACATAAATCCAGTTATCAAACAAAGAAGAAAGAAAAAGTGTGTGTCTTAGTTTTTCCATGTCTGCTACCCACTTTCATTACTTTCATGTGACTTTTTTCTTAATTTTCCACAAAGTAGAAGCTATTGAAGAAGCAGGTTAAGTCATCCCCTGCCTGGCAATCTGAAGTTTTGTCAGTGCCTCAGCATCTATTTGGTTATTGACAATATTTTTGCACAATGTTCATTATCTTGTGACCATATGTGACCATAGAAAGTAGCCTACTTATTGTTATTTCAGCGAACTGTAATATTCCGCTCAGAGTGGAAAGGTATCTAAGGGAGCTTACTGGTCTACACATAAATATGACCGTCTTCAGTGAGGCCATTCTCTTCACCACATGTCTCATGGAATCAGTCCTCACAATAATACACATGATCCAGTTCTCAGTCTTCTTAGGATCATTGTCATCACCACATCTGGCTCTTCAAAAGGGCTATCCATCTTCCTTGTTTACTTTTTTCTGTCTTTTTTTGGCACACACTTTGTTTTTATAGGCAATGTATGAAAAATGTTCATCACGTTCATCATCAAGTGTTATGTAAATCCTTGCTGAATTATCTAGCTAGCTTAATTTATGCAGGACAAAAATCTAGGAAACTCAATTTCCCCATTATAATGACTTGAATGGCTGTCCCACTTTAGCAGTAACACCAGTAAGGTGGAATTTATACTTCTGCGTTGAATTGATGCCATAGCTACGCTGTAACCTACGCCATAGCCCGATGTGCACCTCCCCAGAAATGTACAGTACATGTCGCAGTGACGCAGACCTCCTGTCTATTTCAGTAAGCTGATTTCCCTCAGTGGAAACTTTTATTTACTTTAATTTCACAGATACAAAACAATAAATTGTGAAGACAATAAAGCCTCCACAAAAATAGCATTTGTGATTTGCGTGATTTATCCTGACTTCATATGAGCAGAGGAAATCTCCGCTCGTCGCTAGGCTAATTTATACATTGTAAAATGCCATAGGCTTGTGCTAATAACGTTAGCATGTTATATTTGTTTGGAAAACGTGTTCAGTACGAGACAATTGTTTTGTCGGTGAACCTTGTGAGTTGTAATGGAGCCGAATATTCTAACATAACCTTTGTTAAATGTTGCTGTTGTCCCTGGCTCCATATGAGAAGAGGAAATCTCCGCTAGCTGCTAGGCTAATTTATACAATGTAAAATGCCATATGCTTGTGCTAAAAATGTTAGCATGATGTATTTGTGGGGAAAATGTGTCCAGATAAAGACAAGTGTTTGTCTGTGTCTCTGTATGCTGCGAGTTATAGTGAAGCTGATTTGTGTACTTGTGTTTGAAATTGTCTCTATTAAACAAAATTTTACAGCACTTCACAGAAACCTCTGCCGCCAACTAGTGTTTTGGAGGTGTAACTGCAGAGTGACAGAGACACACCACCGCACAAGTATAAATGCACACAACGGCGTACTGGCAAACTGTGAAAATGTCAAAATCACATAAAAAAAGAAAATTAATATGAACCAATTTTTTTAGAAGAAACTCTAATTCACTATTACATACCATAACAAATGATTAATTACAAACTATCCATCATTTTCTAAGACCATAACATTCACCCCAGAACACAAGTCATTTTACTTTCCATCATGGTTCACTGCAAAGTTGTTGAATAAGGTGTGCCATGCCCCTGGAAGTGATGTCAGGGTGGGCGGATCAATACCAAAATATAAACTCTACAGATACTATGTTTTCATTTTGAAGATCAATCCTAGCGTCAATAGGATTAATATCAAAAAAAGAGATTTGTTTCACTCTTCTATGTCGTACCTATTTAGAGTAAAACTGTGAGAACAACGTTCCGTTGTCGTGAATACATTGAATGCATGTACTGTTTGCTTCTCCACTGCTTTGTGTTGTCCACTCAAGGGTGTGCACCCTGACTGGTTTAATCCGACACATAACAGCAGTGACGGCTTAATGAAAGAGGAAAAAAACACACGTGAAAGAGAACTTGGAGCTGCAACCGAAAAGACAGGAAGAGGAAGTAAATGCTTCAGCATCCAGACCCCTGGCGCAGAGACAAAGTTCACTGGCAGAATCTGTTCAGAGACATTTACAGTAGGCAAGAAATATCCAGGTTGAGTCGAATCAGATCTTCAACATTGGTTAATGTTACATTTTTAAACTGAACTTGGACCTCATTAGCTATAGCAGACTGATTATTCACCTCATAAATCATGACACAATGCGTTTCCCTGCAAAAAAAAAAAAAAAAAAGTGTTGTATCATTTTGATATCGGCAGTTCTGCCCCTGTATTACTTGGTATCAGATTGAAACCAAATTTTGTGGTATCATCTACCCCTAATAGCCACAGAACCTTTTTCTATCTTGAGGTATTTGCTTATGATGAGCTCAGTGTTGATTTTTACTCATGAAAGTATATAGGCCTAGATGTAAAGATAAAAAAGATGAAGCTTAACTGTCCCACTTTACCCATTACCACATCAAGAAGTATATTAACAATTCCTAGTTATGTTCCTGAAGCTTCCTTGTGCCATATTTCTTCTTGGCCAGGCTCAGGAGTCTTCACAGGTTGCCTGGCAACTTCTCGGAGCCAACATTTAGTCAAGCACATGGTATTTGAAATGAGTATTTTCAAAAGCCTTGCGAAAACCTATTGTATCTATTTCTAAGGGCACTATGCCAGATTGACAACAACACACCACCTGCGTCACACCAAGTGTGTCTGTTGTCATTGTCTCACCTCCCTCATTACTACTTCATCCTCCACTGTTGTTTAGTTGTCAGAAGCCTGCTGGGTAAAGTACCCGTCAGGATGACTGCAAAATGATAGGGGTTAGCAGCATCAGGAAACCATACTGCTGCACTGCGGGTCTAAACCACCACTGACCAGACCTCTCCTCCACACACACAAACACAGCACATGGCTGGGAGTGTTTACCGCTTCTCGTCACAGCTCATGCCAGCTGGAATCAGCTGAGATGAGACAGATGCAGCTGTTTACACACTGCAAAACTGTTCTGCCTCCACTGCCACCACAAACCGTTTGGCTTCGCGTAAGACCACAATTAGTCTTTCAAACTGAAATGGCCTCTTGTGCATCTCTACTTCCTTCTCTCGTTCCCTCTCACTGCTCCCATTTTGTTCTGTCTCTCTCTCTCACAGTAACATATCCAACACATTGAAACACATTTGGTCCCATGACTGAAGCTGATGCTCATGTTTTGGGTCATTTCAGGGATATATAATTTACACTGTGTCATCCAGGGAATGAAGGTTGCTCTCATCACAGGCTGAGTTCATTCCCGATAACTCTTCAATCCAATAAAACTGGAAACATGTACCCACTGTAAGTAGTTTTTCCACTTTGCTTCTATAAATTAACCTTTAGAAAAGGTGTTACATGTAGTGCAGGTACATTGCTTATTACTGATTGCTTATTATTCTTCAGTCTTGGAGTGTA